GGAGGGATGTGTTCGGTACCGAAACGCCTCTTCCTCCGCTCTTCTGCTGAAGCCCGCTGCAGGACTGCCTTCCCAGAAGGGTGATAGAAGTAGGATGGAGATTGAGGAACGCGTCTGTTGAGCTAAATACAGCCACTTTTATCTCTGCTACAGCTTCTTCATCCCCTCGCTGGCCGTTGGGAGGATGAGGGTGTGCAAAGAGATTGTGTCCTGGAAGGCTGGTATCCTGCGAAGACCTCAAAAGAAAAAAAAAACAAATTTAAAAAACGAAGTTTAAAAAGAGAAACAAAACAAAGCAAAACGCCAAAGCATTACAAAATATGATCTGCAGGAAAAGAGACAAGGCCAAGCGTACAATCTTATTTATTCGGAGTTATTTAAATAACAACAGGTAAAAATTCATCCCCTCAGGTTTTCTTTTATTTTCATATCACTCTTTTCGTACTCAGAAACTTGTTTGGTGACAGCTGCCCTGTTGGTTTTGTTTGTTTTGGTTTTTTTCTTTTTTTTAACCCAGGACAGCTGGGAATGTAGAAGTTCCCAATAGCAACAGGAGGTGGCACTTTAGAGGTAAAACAAGCAAGTCACACTAAAAAAGGAGGGATTACACAGAGCTGGCTTCTTGATATATTTTACTGCTGAGATGAAGCAAAAAAAAAAATGTATATAAAAGCAATGAGACCATTAGTTAATGTAAATCAGCACATCTTCAGGAAAGCCAGCTAATAATCTGACCCAGCACAACTGCTTTTTAAAAGTACACAAGATACTTTGCTGAAGGTTTTTGTTTTTTTTTTTTTTTGTGGTTCAATAGCTGATTTTAGAACTTAAAGAACATATCATAAAGAGAAGCAGCCCATAAATGTTAAAGTAAAATGTCACCAGCTTTCTACTTTGATAGGTGAAGTCTTGATAGTGATAGTTTGGAAACTTTTTTTTTTTTTAATTTATTTACTCCTTTACAATAATATTTTCCATGAGATGTTCTCACATTCATTTGCTTTCATATCCTTTTGAAACACTTTCAAGTTTCTGAACTTTCATCTGTGTTGTAGATAGTACTGTGTTCAATTAGACCTTTCAACTAATGCCTTAGCTAGATCTGAGATATATGAATGCGTATGAGAGTAAAGTTTACACATTTTAGTCTTCAGACTAATACCATTTTAATGAAGTCATAGCCTCATAATAGAGAAGAAACTCAACCAAAAGCAGCTCAAATTTTTGTTTTGAAAATGCCATGATGAAAATGAAAGTTTGCACTAATATTGAAAAACAGATTTTTGTATGAAGCTCTGACAACCTGGCCAACCACCTAGTGCAAAGTAGTTACTTCCCACAGCTTTTCATATCTTCCTTTCCATCCAACACACACTACAGAGAGGTGCAGACTGAAAACCTAAACAAAGTATTTCCATCATAAATAGCAACACGATCAGCTCTGGTAACTGCAGTGTAAGCCTGTTTGCTTCTAGCTGGTAACAGTCCTCTTCAATCTACTTCTGTCACCTCCATATATCAGTTGTATTAATTCTTAGCAGAGGTTAAGTTATGTTCCATGGTTCTTTCAGCATTATCTGTCCCTGATGTCCAAAAGCAGCTTCCTACTACCAGTTTTACACATTATCTTCCAAACATACTCTTGTCCACGACTGTGAGAAATTAAAGTTGCATACACCATAAATAATAGTTTGCTGCAAAAACTTCTAAAACATTCCTTCTAGTGGTCAGTCTCTTGGGCTTCACAACCATGTGAAGTAACTATAGGTAAGCCTCACTGCATGTGGCAGGGGCAATAGCTAGACTGGCTTTTTAGGAGTGTGGTTTAGGTGAAACTAGCAGGGGTCATGATTCATTAAGCTGTAGGATCATCAACAATACTGGAGACCTCAAGGCCAAACCATTACATATGCTCCACACCAAAGGCTGGTTGATGTATGTTAGGTGCATATGAGGGGAGGGCAGTACCTTCCACATGCTGTGTGGAGTTATCCTACCTCACATTAGCAGGAGCTGGTTTTCATACACTGGAAGTCACTAGGAGCTTCACCACTGACATCTGTGTCAGTTAAGACAATACTTATTCCTGTCTCTTTATTAGTTCTCCATTGCCAGCAATGCATCATGTACTTTTCAGATATGAAGTATCCAGAGGTAAGACTTGAGAACTGGGGTTGTACAACTCTGTATAAAGAATATAGTTAATTGGCAAGATGATGCTTCTGTTCCTGGAGAATATATTATTCTGAGTCTGCACAGTAGTCTCAATGCCAGAGCCTGAGCTGCTGTTTACAAGTAAAGCTGTATGGGTGTCAAGAGATTACAGCACTATGCACACCCTGAAAATGTTGGTATTTAGTTCTGCTGTTATTAGACCAATTTCTAATTGATCAGAATTGCTTAATGCCTGTTTATCCACTAGATGGCACGATGACTCTGAGCTATTAACAACGGAGAGCAAATGTTCTCTGGAGTCCCTTGAGGTACCAAAACGGGGGAAGCACAGGGAGGAAATAAAGGGCATTAAATCTCTACATGGAATGGTAATTCAGCAACAAAATTAGCTTTGTTCTGTGTAGCTTGAGCTTTAAGCATCCAAACTGATTCTTCCATAAGCTTTATATAGTGAAAACAGAGATATTTTTTTTGCACAGACTGTTGTATTATTCCACTAAGGCTGACTGCCTAGTGTAAAAATTACCAATTTTCTTTAAAAAACATTTTTTTGAAAATTTATGTTCTTTGTAAGTCACACATCACAAAATCACAGAATGGCTGATGTTGAAAGGCACCTCTGGAAGTTATCTAGTCCAGCTCCCCTGCTCAAGCAGGGCCATGTAGAGCTGGTTGCCCAGAACCACGTTCAGGCAGCTTTTGACTGTCTCCAAGGATGCAGACTCCACAACATTCCTGGGCAACCTTTGCCAGTTCTGCATCACCTTCACCATAAAAACAGTATGTCCTGATGTACAGAGGGCACCTCCTGTGTTCCAGTTTGTGCCAGTTGCCTCTGGTCCTGTCACTGGGCACCACTGACAAGAGCCTGGCTCCATCCTCCTTATATCCTCACTTCAGACAGTGGACTTCTCCAGGCTGAAGAGTCCCAGCTCTCTCAGCTTTTCTTCACAGGAGAGGTGCCCAGTCCATTCACCAGCTTCATGGCCCTTTCCTGGGCTCTCTCCAGTATGTCCATGTCTCTCATCTACTGAGGAGCCCAGAACTAGTCACAGGACTCCAGGTGTGGTCTCAGTGGTGCTGATGTTGTAATGGTGTTGTAAAAACATTCCACAGTTCTTTTTGTGCTTTCTCTTTAACACTGTAAATGTGACAACATCTGTAGAAAGACATTAATTTTAATTAATTACTTTAAAATACCTCAGATTTCTTTATTAACTACCAAAGAGTACTAAAAGAAGTGACCACTGTGGCTTTCTTTTTCTTTTGTCATTATTACAGTCATGTACTCACCCCTTGGTCCTGTAGAAGTTCTTTGCCACGCTCAGAATTTGGCCCTTTTCTTTCTGTCAAGGTCATACTGTTCACTGCTGGTAAACCACAGTAAGAGTTGTCAAGTTTTGCTTTATATTGTTTTCCTCTTTTTCTTGGTTGACCATGAGGCAGTGTCAACACAAGACCCACTTAGTGAGTTTGGTTTTCACCATCTAAACCACAGGTTTGGCTAACAGAAGTCGGTGAAATGTCAGTATGTTTCAGAGTAATTTGCTTCATTGCTGACCTCGTGTACTCCCTCACTGTACCTTCCCTTCTTATCCCTTTCCAGCTTCAAAATTCATCCTAGACTTCTTGTTTCCAAGATACTCTGGTAAAATGTTTTCTTCCTCATTAAGTGTCCAGGACTCAATCTCTATTAAATGATCTTGTGATGACCTTGGAAGTGAACATTCTGTCTTGCTCAGAAGCTGCTGTGAAAAATCTTCATAGTGTAAAGCAACAGGCCTTCCTGCCTGTACACATGCCTTAATATTGATATTCTTTCTTTGGGAAGAAATGGTACTGTAGGAATAAACCAAGTCTCTTACAATTAAATGGATCCCTTTTGTGGAGCTTCCACAGAAAGTGAGGTTTATCTAGAGGGGTCTTTAGGAACAGGTCCAAATACTGCACGCATTCTAATGAGGCAATAATAAAACACAACATTAGATGTTTTATAATTGTAGTGAAGTGAGCAATGAGTGTAGGAACACTTGAAAATATAACTCAGCAGTGAAAAGGTGTTTAGTTTGCCATAGATCTTCTAATGTTGAAAAAAGAAAAATATCTATACATATATGGCATACATATTTTTTCTACTCCTAATAGCTATCCATAACTCCAAAGATCCACACTCAGTAAAAACTTACAGCCAAAGGAAAGGGCTTTCCTGTTCTTAGGCATGGACTTGGTAACATTAGGTGTTCTGCTTCTAATTTTCACTTTTTAAGTCTATTCTGTAGCAAGCCTGAAGCTCAAAAAAAAACAAAAAAAAAAAAGCCTTCTCTGACAGTAAGAAAATTCCTTGCTTGAAGAAGCTGAAATGATTAAAATTTACAAGAATATCTGTACTAGAGCACATTTTGTTCATTCTCCCCTGAACTAAGAGGAGATTTGGTTCTGACCTTTGTATCCCAGTGTGTTCCCTATCATCAAAAAGTATAAATTGCCATAAGGTCAAAGCAGTGGAAAAGCAAAAGTGGATACTGCCTGCTATAAATTGCAGTAGCTTTTATTAGTAGCCTAAAGGAATGCTATCAGTGTACAAAAAACACCTCCTAAATTTTAATGCGTTATTTCTCTCTGGAGATAATAACAATAGTAACAGCATGGTCTGTTTTACCTGAAATATTTAAAATTTCCCCTTTACATGACATTCATTTTCATATATATAAAAAAAAGAATTAAAATGCCTATAAATATATATCAGTGTATTTCTTTTCTTTAACACTGCTTTCTTTTTTTTTTAATGCTGTATTCACATTAGTCTCAAAAGAGGCTTTACTGAGGCATTCTGAGTAAGGAAAAATAAAATCACAATTGAATCAAAAAGGAATAAGTGGTGGAAAAAGTAAACAAAAGCACAACATTTTACTTTCTAGTTGCATAATACACGTTATACTTTCTAGCCAAATAATGCAGAAGGCATTTATTTTTGATCATTGGCATTATAAAGCTGAAGCAACCCTGCAGGTCGTTCAGCTATTCAGAACCACAACTTCCAGTTACATACACGATACATAGAAGGAGTACATAGGGACATTTTGTTTTCTGTGACATGCAAAATTCTGCACACAGCCTAGAATGATTTACAGAACTCACATACCTGTAAAAAATCCCTTCAGCTCCCCAGACCTCTCCTAGCTGTTTATCTTATTGTCACTCACTTGAAGGACTGAAAAAAGTTCAGAACACAACTGGACTCGCAGACTGTAAAATCGTGTACCTACTAGAACAAAAAGGAGCTGCAGGCATGTAGTCCATCCTCACAGTGTGGTAGTGTTTTCATAGGCTTCACCTGGCAGTAGCAGAGCGTGAGGACTTGAGTCTCAGTGGCATGTGGTACCTCACCTGTTTCCAGAACTTGGAGCTGGGTGACTGTGGGTGCACAGTGTGCTGCTCTTTCCACTTGACAGTACCTTGCCGCTTAATAATAAACCTAAGAGATTCCTGAAGCTTCTCATAAGTCCCAATTGTCTCCATTTCCAATAGGATCACCTTTGTATCATTCTGAATGAGGGCATTGTATAAAGCAATGTGTTGATCATAAGCAAGCTCTTTACAATTAATCAGCTGGTGTGTTAGAAGGATGATCAGCCGTCTGCTCTTCTGCATCCTCTTCTCAATTGCGCTGGCTGTATCTAGCAATGTGAAAGAAAAAGATGAGACCCTGAAATCTCTTTTATAAAACTCTTTTGTGTTTAGGCACTTCATTTTCATTGCTCTTTAACCAGAAATAACTTCTGTCTCACTTCAGTCTAGTATATTTTATTCAAACAAACAAACAAACCCCTATCCCAAGACCCCACCAAAATATAAAGCTTTCTTTTCAAATGTTTAATTTGGTTTAAACATTTTTTTCATTGCTCTTTAGAACTGTTAGGAATTTCTAATCAAACAACCTAGGGTCAACTTCAGTAGGTAGAGATTGTGTCAAATTTGTGCTTCATCAACAGTATCCATATAAGGCATCATGTTCTATCAACTTTAGTGCTTTGCAGCCTGATCCTGCAATACTTACCCACGAAAACTAGACATCTGGAGACTTTTGGGTGACTTGCTTCTAAGAAGCTTACTGAGCAGCAGAGGGAGTGTTAATTCTCCTGAGCTATAGCATGTTAATTCATACACTGCCCTCTGTGCTGGGTTGGGTTGGCATCCACAGCCCTTCAAGGGGTGGGTCCAGACTTGCAGGGTGTTTGTATGTCAGCACGACTAAAGGTGGTTTTGTTTCCTGCTGCCCTGTTAGGGAGAGATAATCAACTGCAACTGGGACTGTGACGTTGGAGGTGTTGAACCTGGGAAACTCAGGAGCCATCATGCTATGGGAGAAACTTCTTGGCCAGCTTGGAAAGCTCCACATCAAGTCTTCAGGAGCTTCTTCCCTGGATGACCTGCTGTGATGTCTGTGGGAGGAAGACTGCAGATGAATGCCTGTCCGGTGAAGTGCTCATCCCAGTTAGAAAAGATCCCTGTGGTCTATACAATGAAAGCTGGATTTGTTTTGGTGGGAGCATGTGCTGCTGGGCCAAAAGAAAGGAGGTGGGAGAAGAGCTGGGGAAATTTAATATAACAATTATTTAACAAAGCCACTGATTTGCAGATATCATCAGCAAGCTGCATATGCATCCTCTGTTCCTTTGCTGGGGGTTGCCAGCCCACTGCAAGGGTCTTCTCAGTCTCAGAGAGGCCCAGATCTTTCAGCCTCTGGGTCAAGAAGAGAATCCTTTCAAAGATGTCTCTGTCCTATTTTTTGGCTCTTTGAGTATTCTGTGAAATCAATTTGCCTTTCTATGATGTTCAGCAATTCAAATTCCTTTCATTTCCTTCTTTTTCACTAAATTTTCCTCATGACAGGAGAACAGATCCTTTGGAAGGCAAGAAAAATTAAGGTAAGCAGCTACTGACATATGTTTATTTCCCATAGTAACAACTTTTGAAAAAAAAAATATCAGTTTTGAGGTGTAGTCCATTGTGCTCAGGACTGGAAGGCCATGGACCTGGGGAGGTATTGACTGCTCCATTTGGATTTCCAATGCCATATTTGTGGCAAGAGGAGAGATGGGGCTGCATGCTGCAAACACTTTAACTGAAGGGCTCATTGCAACCTGTAGTGTGAATGTTAGAAGCTTAGACGAGTTCAGAAATTGACAGAAAATATGGTGAGAGAAAAATCCATCAGCAGCTGTAATATACAAATATTTGAGTGTCTGAAGCCCACATACTGCTGGGAGAATACATTAATGGAAGTATAAGCTTGTCCTAGTCTTAAAGTGTTTTCCAGTCCTTTGCCCATAGCCACTGCTGAAGACAGGACACTTGGCTACACAGAACGTTGCTCCAGTGAAGTGTGATCATTCCTCTGTTATTTGCTCATGGTTTTGTGTATTGCAGGTACAGCAGCTCCAGCAGAGTTTGCCAAGGTTCTGCAGCAAGGAACGTGGTTGGCAGGACAATGAGACCATGAGAAAACTGGAGTAGAACGTGATGTTGGTGAAAACTCTTGGTTTTCTGGGTAATAGTTGCATTTACACCTTTTCATGCAATTCTTAGGCTGTAGAAAATGCCATTAATCAGTAACATCAGGGAACAAAAAGAATGCTGGTTTAGGGAAGCATAATGAGAGCCCAGCATTTATGCAGTGCTGTTTATCACTTGAATCATTCTGTTTAACTTGGCTTTTTACTGGAGGAACAGAAGTTTCAAGTAAAAAAGCTTTGCTCTAGAACCAAGAGTAAGAAGCATGTCTTGAAATAATAATTCCACTTTATATACTCACTGCATTTTTTTTTTTCCTGGACATACATGGCATTTTACAGTGAAAAGTATGACCCATCAAATACTGTGGTACGTGTTCAGGAAGGATTGCAATAAATTGAAGTGGTATTTCCTGTTTTATTCTGTTTAGCTCATTTTAACTGTAAGGGTTTTTTTTGTTTGGAAACCTGGTAATTGAAGGCTCAAGATCAGAAGATAAACAACAGTGGGAGCATGTGGGTAAAGTCTGTCTGCCTGGAAGCATAGAACTTTAATTACTCCCAGTGGCAGGCAAATTTGGAATAGCTTTTCTATCCAAATGAAAGTTTTGGAGCATGAAAGTGGACAAAGAAGAGAAAAGTACAAGGCTGGGCAAGTAGGTAAGATGAGAAAAAGGACAGTGGTCAACATTTGGGACATTTTTAGAGTTTTGATTAAATCAAACTGATCAAGTCAAACAAAAGTTACTCACTGTCCAAGGCTAGCTTGGTGAGCCTTCAGTCTGTAACTTGTGGGTTACAGGCATTCATCCATACCTTCATACAATGAAAATGTCATTGTTTTCAGCCAATTTATGAGAGCCCTTCTTAGTCCCACAGTCTTCAAATCAGTTGCATGCCACGCTCAGTTTTCTTCAAGATTGAAATCCGTAAACCACAGTTTGAGAGTAGTGTCCCATAACAAAATATTGCACTGTCCCTCATCACCTGAAGAGGTGGCATAACTTGCAGCACTTTTGCTGCTCTTCAGAAGAGAAGGACATCAAAGATCTCAACTCAGCTCTGGGCAGATGAATGACATTTGGCCCAATGCAGATGATTTCAGAAGTGTGTAACAGAAAATGTGCCAGTTTTGGCTTCATGCCTGCTTACTAACAGGGAGAGATCTGATCTACAGGATAAGCAGAGAACAAGGTAAATAGAGACGTCAGCTCTGGAGGAAAGCAGATAGGGCCTAGATGACAGAAATCATAAGAGAATGTACAGATGTATCCATATGGAAATTTGCACAGATTAATTAACATGGTTCCTTTCTGGAGGACAAGGAAGCAGGAATAAAGAATACCAACTCTTCTGAATTAGCACTGGGAACTGTGTGAAGTGAAAGCAAGCCACATGAGTGAACAGAAGCTGAGCTTCCTGTGACACTAACATCCTTGTAACAGGTTGAAAAACCCTGAGAGATAACAGCAAAGTTAATTCCTTAATTTAGTTTGTGGGTTTCTCCTCTTCCGTGTCTTACAGACCTAATTGTGTTGTAGCTTTGCCCAGGTAATAGCTGTGCAGAGCTACACTACCAAACCAGCAGGTGGATGTTTAAGAGTCACACGTGGGGTCACATTTCCTGCATGACCCAAGAAGATGATAAACAGTCTTGCTTTTCTTAGCACACCGGAAGCACAGAGCGACGTTGTGTCACCCTGCCTGAAGGAGCAGATACACAGCTACTGAGGAGAGGAGCACCAGGCTCAGGAATGTCAACAGACCTCTTATGGTCCTGAAAGGGACTAGAACCACAATTTGCCCAAGCTTGACAAGTCATTCAGTGCATCGTCTGATCTGAAACTTACCTTCTCCTGGGTATATGTCTCTCCCATAAATACACAGTTTATATCCACATTTGTTTTCTAGAATATCTGGCATGACTTGGTAAACAAAATATTCCACAAAATTAGCTTCATTGGTATGGCATTTGGGGTAGATAACATATGCATCATATATCTTCCCATCTTTAAGGCAAAACAGGAGAAGTGAGTTATTTTAACATGAATTAGAACAAAAGCTAGAAGAGAAATAAAGAAATCAGTCTTTGAAATAGATCTAAGTAGAAGGCCCTGCCCACTTTATTGGGTGTAAGTTTGGAAGTTAGAAACTGTGCACGTTTGGTGTTGTCCGTGCTCAATTTTTATGTCCTGTGCACTTGCTATTTTGGAGATCCAACCTATGTTCATATTAGCATGAAATAAAGATGAAGCTCAGTGTTTGTTATTTCATTGATACAATAGGCTGTTAACAGCCTTTGTCTTTGAGGACAAGACATTCCACTTAAATTCTTCCATCTTGAAGAAATTACTTATCATTCCCACAACATATCATACTTCTGAGTGAAAAGCTCCATTACTCAGGAAGTGGTCTTACAGTCAGAACCAAGCCCAAAGTCAAATATGTCTTTCACTCTTTTCTTAATTTCTCTCAGATATATTTCCCATTACAGCGTTTGTTTTATAATCCCAGATGTTTCATTTCTTTCTGTCCAGTAGGCTGATCATATCCCTTCTTTTGTTGCTATCTAAGGTTCTTGTCCAGACCACCCTTACAATAAAAAAGGAAGAGCCATTTCCAGAGTATGATTCGTTTCATCATAAAGTACATGTAAACTGCCCTAAAGATTGTGCTTCTTTCCTCTTTAAAGAATAGACGTAGCTGGATCAGCTGTAGCTATCTACCATGCAGACAGCTGTGGCAGGAGTCAGCTTTCAATTTAAAAAATGTAAATTTAGGTGTCTACATGAAAGCCACATGTCCAACCTCCTGCTGCAATCAGTGGAGAACTGGCTATTGCAGCTAGTGAACTCTAGAGGGGTTCAGATTGCTTTCATGTAAATGCCACTATGTTGCCCTGAACGTGGGCGTTTAGTGCCATGTGAGACTTCCTGGGGTACCCTGCCTGATCTCCAGACTCTGCTCCAGAAGTCTGCAACATGCAGCAGATCTGTGTTATATATCCACTTTTTTTTGGCCACCCCAGGTGATTCGAGATGCCCATGTTCAGACCACTGATGCAAGGTCCCAGCACTTGGTTAGCTCAGTTGTTTTTATTAAGGAAGAGCTGGAACTGATCACCCAAAACCATGTACCACATAGTGTCATTAGGCACTGCCTGCCCTTCGTCTGCCACTGCAGAAGGGTTCAGGTCCCTCCTAAGTCCTAAAAGAGCTCCAATGCTACTAGCTGCTTATGATTAGATAGCTGAACCCAGCCCCAGGTCTCCAGGTTTCATGCTTATGATAGGAGTTTGCATGTCGGTGCCTTCATTGCATGCAACTAAATTCAGGTGTCTTAATCTTGAGATGAAGTCCAGCCCTAAAGTTGGATGGGAAGTATTCCACCCAAAAGTTTCTTCCACAATATTGTTACCTTTCTCTTTGGTTTATAAAAAACTCTGTGGCTCTAACACATGCCTGCTAACACATTGGTCAGTAGGCTGGTTCCTTTGCTTTAGAGAGCCCATAACAAGCACAGTTAATAGCATTGTAAATCAGATTCTCACTGTCATTCAGTATATCATAGCACATACTTCTGTTAAATATGAAAGCAGGACTGAATCCCTCCTCTACATAATACATCACTACAGAACCCAGGAAACAGGGGGACATAGGGCACTGTCAGAGCTATGTAAGTCCCCTCTGATCTAAACAATTTCAGAAGGCATGAGAAAGGTGACATATGAGTTAGTAAGCAACTATCAAATCCTTTTCTGTATGATTTCCCTTTTCCCCTTTTTTTGAACTTGCCTGCTCAGCTCTTACTCACCATCTTTGACTGAGTAGGGCTGGAACATCTCCCGATACAAGAGGATGATATCAATCCGGAAGGACTGATAAAGTATTACAGAGACTGCTATTGCAACTAGCAGAACTAGAGATCCTGCCACCAAGAGGACGTTAGGAAGACCCACTGCAAAGAAGAGGAATATATTGTTAGCTGTAGAGAAGTCAACTCATGGGCTGAAGCCTCAGCCTGTCATAGCCTTACTTCTGTTGCAGCTTTCTGTTGAGCTCACAGCAGAGAAGACAAAGTGTTTTCCTTCCCCATCTGGTGTAGTCAACACAGACACTTCACCTAGAAGTGTACTAAGCAATGTATAAATAATATTTACTTCCATTGAATCCAGACTTACCTACACTAAATACTGCAGCTGACAATGATGTTTGACTATTTTGTCATGCTGTAAAACTGTTAATAACACAATTAGCAACAAATTTCAAGCATTTGGCAAGGTATCTAAGCCTAGGCATGACAAACGTAAGTTGTCCTAAGAAAGGACAAGCAAAGTCTTCCAGCACAGTCACACAAAAAGGGTACAGAGAAACATGCAAATAATAAATCTGCAAGATAAGAACAAATTACGCAAAACAAGCAGGAAAAAAGGACATGTCCTGGTCACAAAAGTAAAATAAACTAGGCAAGGGACAGATGACGTTCTCCCCTGCCTTTCCCTTTGAAGAGGATCAGAGAAGATAAAATAGCAATGACAAGAAAGGAAAATTGAGAAAGAAAGAAGCCACCCACGTTAGTTCCAGCTTCCCTCATGGAAGAGCTCTCGAATCTGACCACCTCCACCTCAGAAATGAAGGCTTACCAAGGGTAGATTCAGACTACATATGAGGAAGAAATTTTTATGATGAGGGTGGTGAAACACTGGAACAGGGTTCCCAGACACCTGGTAGAAGCCCCAACCTTGGAAATGAATTGGTTGAATCCTGGGAAATGTATGGATGCATCTTGGGATGTGTCAAGGGGTTGTGGCCAGCAGATCAAGAGAGGTGATTCACCTCCTTTACTCTGCTCCTGTGAGACCCCACCTTGAATACTGTGTTCAGTTCTGGTGTCCCCACCATAAAAAGGACATAGATCTGTTGGAACAAGTCCAGAGGAGGCCACAAAGTTGATCCAGGGGCTGGAGTGTCTCTGCTACGAGGACAGGCTGAGGGCACTGGGACTGTTCAGCTCGAAGAAGAAAAAACTTTGGGGGGATCTTATAACAGCCTTCCAATACCTGAAGGAAGCTACAGGAAGACTGGAAAGGGATTTTTGACAAGAGTGTCTAGCAACAAGACAAGAGGAAATGTTTTTCAGCTGATGGAGAGCAGGTTTAGACTAGATCTTAGGATGTTCTTCAGTACAAGGGTGGCAAGACTCTGGACTAGATTGCCCAGAGAGGCTGCCGATACCCCCTCCCTGGAGGTGTTCAAGGACAGGCTGGATGAGGCCTTGAGCAACCTGGTCTAGTTGAGAGGTGTCCCTGCTCATGGCAGGGAGGTTGGATTAGACAATCTCTAGGGTCCCTTCCAATCTTGCCATTCTATGATTCTACGAATGGTCACGTGCCAAGGGTAGTAGTCAACAGGTCAGTGTCTAGACAGAGACCAGTGACAAGTGGTGTCCTTCTGTGGTCCATACTGGGAGCAGTGCTTTTTAACATCTTCACCAATGACAGACAGTGAGATCAAGTGCACCCTCAGCAAGTTTGCAGATGACACCAAGCTGAGTGGTGCAGTGACACACCATAGGGACAGGATGCCATCCAGTGGGACCTAGACAAGCTTGAGAAGTGGGCCCATGTGAACCTCATGAGGTTCAACAAGGCCAACTGCAAGGTCCTGTGCGTGGGTCATGGCAATCCCAAGCACAAATACAACCTGGGGGATGATATGACTGAAAGCAGTCCTGCAGAGAAGGCCATGGGGGTGTTGGCTGAAGAGAAGCACAACATGAGCCAACAATGTGCAATTGCATCCCAAAAAGCAAACCAGATCCTGGGATGCATCAAAATAATTGTGGCCAGTAGGTCAAAGAAGGTGATTGTTCCCCTCTACTCCTCTCTCATGAAACCCCACTTGGAGTACTGTGTCCAGCTCTGCAGCCCCCAGCACAAGAAGGACATGGAGCTGTTGGAGTGGGTCTGGGGGGGGGCTATGAAGATGATCAGAAGGCTGGAAAACCTCTCCTACGATGGCAGGCTGAGAGGACTGGGGCTGTTCAGCCTGGAGAAGAGAAGGCCCCTAGGGGGCCTGTAAGAAAGGTGACAGTCTTTTTAGCAGGGTCTGTTGCAACATGACAAGGGTTAATTGTTTTAAACTAAAGGAAGGTAAATTTAAACTAGATATGAGGAAGAAATTTGTTTATGATGAAGCTGTTGGAACACTGGCACAGGTTTGGTCAGGCAACAAGGTCAGGTTGGGCAGGGCTCTGAGCAGCCTGATCTAGTTGAAGAAGTCCCTGCTTCTTGCAGAGGGGTTGGACTTGATGACCTCTAAAGGTCCCTGCCAACCCAAACCCTTCTGTGTTTCTATAAGGATGTCAGTCACCAACTCTGTGCTGCCATATGCACACAACTAGTCTAGAACAAGATTGTGATTATCACTCTTCTTTGGGAGAGCTACATTTCTGTCACAACTCAGATAGCTGCCTCCTCTTGCCTGTGTTTCACAGAGCAGAAGTCAGCCTAGACATAGGTATCCTTCAGATGTGCCAACTAGTTCTGCTGTTGCAAGAGACGATGGATGATAAAAACAAGGTCATTTTGTACTGCCTCCAAACCAGAAAGATGGAAGCTTAATCTGGAGACTGTTAAAACCACAAAGCTGAAGAAGATATGTTTAATCTATGTCCTGGACATACTGAATTCAGGCAGGATTCAGAGTTGAAAACACTATGAGTTCCAGATAGCCAAGTTTGAAACTAAAATACCAAAGGCTTTCTATGGCGTTACACAGAAAGGATTCATTACTCCCTTGGAGGGAAGATCAATGGCAATTGTCTCATAATCGAAATCTGTTCCTAAGCAAATGAAAGATACCTAAATCTACTCAGTTTTAACACATGGATTCAGAAGTTCCATGTACATTTTTTATCTGACAGCTAAACCCATTAAGTGATTTCTATTTGCAGTTCATCTTCTTTATCTAGTCTTTCCTGCCCAGGATGACAACTTACCATCCTACAGTTGTAACAATATAACCAATTTGGTGACTTTTCTGTGTTTCAGATCGCTGAAATTATTTCAATTAAAAAAAAAATACTCCCAGAGGCATTGAACTGGATGATGGACTTTTACCCTCAGAGAAATGCACATGACAATGTCCAGATTGTGCATCACATCTGCATAAAAGGGCCCATCTAAATTTAAATACAAGTAATCTGGCCACACAGACATGGAGGTCAGCTCTGGCCTCCTCACTGTAAAGACCCTTCACAGCATCTCCACCCATGGAGGGTGATGATATGTACTGGTAACAACTCCACCCAGCCAAGCTTTGATCCCTACAATCAGAGCAGGCATCAGACATTCAGGGCTTTTCCTCCCTCTGCCTGCAAAGCACACACAAGACGTGGTTGCAGCAGCAAGCCATTTACCTGTGCCTGAGGAGGTCCATCTTACAGCAGGCTGAAGAGCCAGTGTCAGCCCTTCTGCAGAACAGGTAGACAGACAGACTGGAAAATGCTATAGACTGTGTACACCCAGTAAGTATGCTACTGGGTGAAGGCACTAACCACCACCCAGGAGCACTTTCAGAGTTAATTTCACACATTTACTGAGTGAATTGTCTTATATTGACATTTGTAGGTGACTAACTTCTCCAGTAAATGTGTAAGGCAATGAATTGAGTAGCACTTACTGAGAGACCCTAAAAATATTAGTGCCTAAGAAATTCCACTGAAAAGCTATTTAAATAAAGAGTTTACAAGTACATTTTCCCTTTCCCGTGGTAGGATGGGAGGTAAATTTGGCATGATTTTCACACTCTTT